GGCAGGTTCTACAAGCTGCACGAGCGCAAGTGTGAGCCCATCATCATGACGGTGCCAAGGAAGGTCCGTGGGGTGGGGGGCTCTGGGCAGGGGGAGGTGGGTGGGTGGTGGTCCCTGGTGGGGGGGACCCTGTGGGTGTTGTGTGGGGTCCCTGGGCAGGAAAGGGGGATTGGATGGGGGTCCCCATGGGGTTTGTGTTGTCCCTGGTAACTGGGCGGGGGTCCCCATGGGGCTCGTGGTGGATCCCTGGGCAGGACATGGTGTCTGGGTGGGGGGCGGGTGGGGGTCCCCGGGTGAAACATGGTGCCTGGGTGGGGGTCCCTGTGGGGGTTTGTGGAGTCCTTGGGCAAAAGATGGTGCCTGGGTGAGTCTCCCCACGTGGTCTGTGTGTGGGGTCCCTGGGTGAGTCTCCCCATGTGGTCTGTGTGTGGGGTCCCTGGGTGAGGGTCTCCCTGGGGTCTGTGTGGGGTCCCTGGGTGAGGCTCCCCGTGGGGTCTGTGTGTGGGGTCCCTGACTGGGGGACATGGGCCCAGTGTGGGTGTCCCCAGTGAGTCTGCCTGGGGGTCCCCATGGGGTGTGTGTGGGGTCCCTGGGTATTACACGGTGCCTGGGAGTTGTGGGGTCTGCGCTGAGGGCACGTGTGGGTTCCCCGGGGTGCCTCTCGGGGGCTCCCCCCGAGTGTCCCCCCGCCCTGACCGCGGGCGGGGGGCAGTCGGACCTGTTCCAGGACGACCTGTACCCGGACACGGCGGGCCCGGAGGCGGCCATGGAGGCGGAGGAGTGGGTGGCGGGGCGCACGGCGGGGCCGGTGCTGGTGTCCCTGCGCCAGGCCTACGTGCCCCCCAAGCAGCGGGACCTCAAGGTGAGCCGGCGGGCGCTGCTGCACGACGGCCACGCCACCGCCGCCGCCGGAGCCGCCACCACGCCGACCCCCGCGCCCCCCGCCGCCCCCGCGCCCGCCCGGCTCAGCGCGCCCCCGGCACTGGGAACGCTGGGAACGCTGGGAACCGGCACCGCCACGGTGAGGGAGGAGCGGGAGAGGTCGGGGTGGGTGGGGTCTAAATGGGTGTGGTCTCTGTGGGATGGGCCAGGGGCTGGGTGGGGAAGGTGGTGGGCGGGGCAATGGGATGGGCGTGGTTTCTGTCGGTGGGGCTGTGGAGTGGGAGGGGTCTCTGTGGGTGGGACATTGGAATGGGTGGGGTCATTGTGGGTGTGGCTATGGAGTGGGTGTGGCTTGGGTGGGGTGGGTGTCATGGAGTGGGTGTGGTCTCTGTGGGTGTGGCTGTGGACTGGACTGGTCTCTGGGTGGAGCTGTGACATGGGTGGGATCTCCAGAGTGGGCGTGGCAGCAGCTGGGTGGGGGTAGGTGGGGCCATTGCTGGTGGGTGTGGCCATTTGGTGCAATGGGCGTGGTCACAGTGGGTGTGTCGAAATTTGGCTGGGGCGAGGGGGGGTGCAATAGGGGTCAAGTGGGGGATTGGTGGGGTGTGCTTTGAATGTGACCAGGCTGGGCCAACGGGCTGGGCTGAGTGTGGTGGGCGTGGCAGTGGGTGGAGCTCTGTTGGGCGTGTCCCGTGTGGGCGTGGCTCACGGGGGCGGGGTGTTCTCCCTCAGGGGGGCCGGCTGGAGGAGGTGCTGCAGGAGGTGGCGGCGCTGCGGGCGCTGGTGGCCGAGCAGGGCCAGCGCATCGACCGCCTGGAGGAGCAGCTCAGCCGCCTCGAGAACGGCCACGTCTAGGGACCCCCTCAGGGACCACCGCCCCAGGGACCACGCCTGCGCCCCAGGGACCCCCTACCCCGCACCCTCCCACCCCTGGGGTGCCCCCTCACCCCGCTCTGGGTCCTTCTCCCCTTGGGGGGCTCCCCTCCCCCCATTGCCTTACTGGGTGCTGCCCCCCTCCCCAAATCATGGACCATTCCCACCCCCGTGTCCTCGGGCTGGGGGTTGCTCCTGGGATCAAACATTGCCCCCTGCACCCCCCAGTCCCTGCGTGGGGTGTCCTGCCCCTCTTCCTACGGGGCAGGGCATGATCTGACCCCTACAACTGTGAAATATTGTCCCCCCTATATTTTGGGGGCTTTCCCCCCCCCCGCCTCCCCCTTCCTCCTCCTTATCGTGTTCCCTCCTCCATTCCAGTGCAGGGTCAAAAACTATATTTTCACTCCAAATAAAGGATTTATAAGAAAAGTTCCAGGGGCCTGTGGGGGGGCCGGGGAGGCCGGGGGTTTGTGGGGATGGCTGTGGGGGTTTGGGGGGATGGCTGTGGGGTTAGGGGGCTCTTTCGGGGAGGGGGGCAGGGAGCTCCGAAAGCTGCAGGTGCCACCCGTGGGAGGTGACCCGGCGGGGCGCAGGAAGGCGCGGCGGTCACGGGTGGGGGCTCAGCGCCTCGGGCAGGAAGTTGGGGGGCACTTCGGGTAGGGAGGGGGTTGGGGGGGGTGCAGCACCTCCCCTCCCCCCGCTCCGAAACATCCGCTGTGCGGGGGCAGGAAGTTGGGGGGGCTCCCCCCCCTCATCTCGGCATCGCGCCCGCGGCGTCGGGACCCGCTCCGGCAGCACCCGCTGATGGTGAGCACCCCAAAAACGGGCAGGGAGGGACTGGGGGGGCTGGGGACACGCGGGAGGGTTCGGGGGGGATCCCCCAAATTGAGACTGAGCTGGGGGAAGGGTGGGTTCCTCTCCAGCCTCAGTTTCCCCCGTGAAACGTGGAGGCAGGGTGGGGGTGGCTGAGTTTCATTCAAATTCGGGTACCTCCAATTTTGGAGGGTGTGGGGGGGCAGCAATGGGGGGTCCCTGGGCAGGTCCCCCTTCCATAGTTGGGTGTGGGGCGCGGGGCCTGGTGGTGCTAGAGCTGGGAGAGCGGGTTTTGGGGGTTGGGGGGAGGTTGGGGGGGGCTGAGGAGCAGG